CGAAAAGGGATTATATTGCTGCTTGTAGAGATCAAAGCAACTACTGCACAGAGAGAGAGAAAATTGGGAGCTAAGAGCCTAGCCATGTTCAATGGCCGTGGCAGCCTGGAGCTGCAGGGGAAGGCAAGCAGAGTGGGCTCTGCGAAGCGCTGCACACTGGAGGGGACCGGAGCTCGCGGAGCGGCTCGGCTTGCTGCCATTCAAAGGATGCTTTCACGAGCAGCCTTGCTTGATTCTCTTCAAAACTGTGAGGCGGTCCCATTTTGGGGGATGAGACACTAAAACTCATAGTGTTCAAGGGACACATCTTCAAGACCAGTACTTGTCCTATCACAGTACAGGTTGCTCACCTGGATAAAGATTTTTAAAAACAATACATTTTGGATGGTCCCTTCAAAATGAAGTTGTTTCTAGAGCCCATATTTAAATTATGCCTTCAAAAACTGGCCGTTAGCTAATCGATTATATTAATAACTACTTGTTCCCACCCTGACATTTGCCTGGGGGTATGTCCAAAACATGCCGAGGTCCATTCTTTCCCCTCCCTGAGGAAAGTGAAATCATGAAAGAAACCAGTTCCAATGCTGGAAATTGTATTAGGACAAATATGTGTTGTGGTTTTATAAATGTTGCTTAAATCAGAACACCTGGCAACGAACTGAATGCTTGTGTTACTGAACTCAAAGGGTTTGTTTTGCCTGCTCGTGTCAAGGCCAAAAGAGTCAAGGACAGAAGTTTGCAGCAAAGAAGGTAAGGGATCATTTAAGGAAATGGTGCCAAGCCCGGTGATACAGGTGAGCTAGTGCATAAAGACCTCATTAGCAGATATGGAAGTCGGGTTCATAGACTCTGCCAATTGGCCTGCGCTAAGGTGGGAGGCAGTTGATCACTGCCATCATGATCCGATGTCAGTCACGGCGTGGTTCTATCTGGTTTCCCGGGAATGCTGGTAGGGTCGTTCCGCCTTCCAGTGTGTGGAATTGCAAGATGTTATCTTTAGTTTGACTATTCTTTCTGTGGTCAACAGATCTAAGGCTTTGTTCCTAAGACTGATGCTGACCTAAGGGCTTAATGATTAAGGGTGTGGTCGTGCAGCATGCAGAAGGATAAAGAAAGAAAAGAAGCGAGTGAGCCCAAGGCCAGTTTGAATCAAGGAGAAAGAGAAGAAAAAGTCATTTTAAAGTGAAGATTTTCATGGTTAGGCTTCTGCCATTAATTCAACCTTATCTGCTTGAATCACAGGATGTAACTTGTAAATTACATCCAGACAGCTGTTAGAACCTAGGTTCCTGAGAGAGAAGAATTATTAGACATTAAGCACCTTACGGTTTTACAATTGCTCCTCACCAAAGATCCTGTTTGAAATGAATACTCTAGTTTGGATGGATGTTTATGAGGGATTGTAATTGACAAAAAATGGGACTTTGGAGTCAGACAAACCTTGGTTTAAATCGTAACACTGCATTTGCCACGTTTATTAACTTAATAAACCTCTCTGAGCCTCAGTTTCATCATCTATAAAGTTAACCATATTTACCTTCAGTGATTAATGTGAGAATTAAATGAGATAATTGATATTATTATTAATATGAAATATTATTAATATAAAGATTGAGTGAAGAGCTAGATAGAATGAAAAAATTCTATTAAGGTGAGGAGCATCTCTGAATTGATTTTGTTACTTTAGTTCTCAGTTATAAATTATAGTAGGCCTTCTCAATCATTCAAGCAAGTCTTTAAAAAGCCCGGAAGTACAATGATTCGGTGTTAAGAAACCTAAGACCTTAAGAAAAATTGTGTTGGAGAACAGGGCTAAGAAATAAACCTGTGAAATACATTACATATGTTTCACATTCTCTGAAATAAAATAACTGATACCTCACACTAAAGTTAAAATAATGCTAGTTGTATTTTACACATATTAAATTAGTAACAATACTGTCCAATTTTGTTTCTCACTAAAAATTTTCAGAATGCTTATCACAAAATAGCTGCAAGACACATTTATTATCAAGATGTGAGCTTTTCTATGCTGATGATATGCTTCTACATAGACTTTGCCTCCATGTTTGTTTTCCCCTCAAGAATGTTCCAGTCTCTCTGAATTAAGAGTTGATTTTTGTCTGTATCTCCTCATGTTGTCCACTCCTTTCACACCTACTTCTGTAGTTCCTTTTACCCGTCCCTTGTCTCCTCTCCCAGCTCTCGCCATGCTCCCTGGGGCAAACATAGAGTAACCTAAGCACTAGAATGTTTAAGAAACCAATCAACCAACCTTTTGTGTAACTCCCTCAGCTATGTTGAACATATCTTTTTGAGTCTTCTACCTAACAGTCGGTATGTTGCTCTTATAACTTTATATTGAAGTGCCTTTTACAAAAGCCTAGCTCCCCTCCCTGATGTTTTAGAGCCCGTCCACAGGAAGACTGCCATTTTTCATTTCCAAGACTTCATTACAACAAATTCCACTTGTGCTCCGCCATCTGCCTAACTTTTTCTCACAATTATAAATGTCCACCTCTTTTTCCAATTCTCTTCTATAAGTGACTTGCGAGCTGCAAACACTACATCTAAACCCTCCAGTTGTTCAAATTATAATACAGTTCTAGTCCTAAATGGTAGTAACTGAACTTATGACCTTGATTCTCTTATCTATATTGGTTACCATATTGATGTCATATATTGGTTCATGACCTTATGCACACAGACGTGTTTAAAAATAAAAACCAGGATAAATGAGAACGGTGCCAGTTATCTGTTGCAAAACTAACTGATTTGCTTTCCTGCTCTTAAAGGCAGGGTTAGACAACAGGTTAGAGTTGAGTTCCCAAGGGACAAATCTGGAGGATATCAGGCCAGATAGAGTAGTGAGCCACATCACCGTCTGAGGGGGAAAAGACAATAAAAGCATAATACCCAGATTGTGGTTGCATAACCAAGAGTTTTAATTTAAAATAGTGATCAGTTTGGAGTGAGGACAGATAAGCAATAAGGGAGACACTGAGGCCTGGGCCAAATGTCACATAATACAGATGGATCATGAGCCATCAGTTATAGGGACAGCTAAGGGTGATTTATTAGCGTTATCTTTCTCATATTTCATATTAGGTTGTGTTGGTGACTCACAAGACAGCCCAATAACATGACAGAATTGCTAATAGAGCCCAGTGGTGAGATGTGACAGCAGTATTGACTCCCACCTTCAAATCTGTGTGTCTGTGTTGAAGGACTTCTTTAGATTGTGATGGCAGCCAGTTGTGCTTTTGGACACTACTTGTGAAATCCGATGCTATAAAAGCAAAAGAAGATTTTGTGCTTGGCTGACTCTTAGAGCAAATGGAGAAGAAATAATTCTTAACATTTCTAATAAGATTCACTGGTGATCTTAGATGTGCTAAAAGGCAAGGGAACATGATAAGTAGCCACCATGAGGAAAAGATGAGGTAACTATGGTTATGTAACGTAAATGGGCATGTGTTGATGAGATTTATGTCTAGGCATATATTATCGAGCATAAATTCATAGTGTGTATTTAATTTTTCACTTAAAACACTAATGAAGTACTCTATAATCTAGTATACTAAAATTATGTCATATTAGTACAATTTCTGCACAGCGCAGAAGAAAATACTATAATTACTAAACAGTAGAAATATAATTGTTTATAGTCCTTAAGCATCACTGCAATTAAGGCATCACATTTGTTATGCTTTCTTCAGAATCTGTTAGTGATTTTTAATCTTTTTTTTAAACCCTTCAGTTTTTGTTTACTATACATTTTTTTTAATGCTCTCGATAGTCCAAAAGGTTTGATATTCAAAAAGCTCTGTAGAGTCTTGGTCTATTGGTTTGTGACTCAGAATCTAAGGCTAAACATAAATAAAAGTGATTTTAACTTTGATTTCATCTCATTTTGTAACCTTTAGTTGGTATAAATGCAAATCGATGTACAATATCTAAAAAGGTAGCCAAAAAAGGAAGAAGACTCATGTGTAGATTGTTATATACAATTGGACACTGGAAGCCTTTGAAGATTCAAATCTTGTGACTATTAAAATGCCATCTTTAGAAATTGTCTTATTTGGTACTAAGACTTATGGAAACTTTAAAGATATACATTTTGTATCACCTGATAACTTCTCTTGTCAATCCCTAGAAACACCTAACCATCGTGCTCTAAGGTTTCTTATTTCTTTTCTATTTTTCTTCTGTTAATTAATTTCCTTGTTGGAACACTTTTTCCTTAAATACCCACATAAAGATTCTCAAATAATATTTTCATAAAGACTGCATACTGATAATAGACACCCGCTTTCTATATCAATTTCATTCTATAAGGCAATGACTTTCAAAATAAATACAAATATAGTCCTAGGTGGTATTCTTTTCTTGTCCCAGAGGCAAAAGTTGAATGTTCTCTGCTATGCAAATTTGGTAATGGCCAACATTACCACATGTCAGGGATAACATGGTCAGTTTCTTTGGACAGTATGGTCGATGGGTTACTATAGTGAGCCTGATCTCTGCATTTTTAGTGTCAGAGATATTTATGATTCTAAGTAGCACCATGCATGGCTATTAAAAGTAAAAGAAATAGCAGGGACCTGGTTCCAATTGCTTAGTAAACAATAGTAGAAAGATATTTATTAAAACAGGCTCTCAAGTGACAGATAAATACATAGTTATATTATGCATGCTAAGTTCAGCATGCTGCAAGCTTAAAAGCAGATAGATCAAAACAAGAGAGATTTAAAAAATCATAAAGACAAAATACAGCTATGTCAGTATATGGCAGGAAAGTAATTTTGCTTAAAAGTGATCTCCCCTAACTCCCTCAAGGAACATGTAACCACAATTTATGTAACAAAATTAAAGGCAAGTTGAGAGTGTTCCATTTCTTAACTTGCCTGTCATGGAGTTAAAATTTTTTTTAAAGGGCTATTATTTAACTAAGACACAATTGAATCTCTCTATTATAAACAAAAGATGACATCACATAATTACTGATGTATAATTTTCTTATTTATTAATGTGAGATGTTTAATTCTTAAAAAAAAAAAAGCACATAAAACAAGCCACTAAACAGATTCTTTCACGCATCCTTTCCCACCTCACGAGATCCACTGCATGACTTTTAGAAGAGTTCCCTTGCTCAAAGTTGGCATATGTTTTTCAATTTTCACTGTCCAGAGCCATATTTACAGAAAGATGTACAAATATTGTAGATGGGAGGCTGTGCAACCCTCACATGATTAAAACTTCAGTTCCTTGGTTTTCTAGGGCTTTGTGTAAATGCCAAAAAATTTGAGAGTTTACCCAACTGTGTCTCTTAACCTTTGTTCCCAAAGGTGAAGGGCAGGATTTTTAATCAAGTAGCAATTTATGTTTAATTAGGAAAACATAATTAGGTATTATCATCTAATTGCAATTACTGGCTGGAGAAAGTCACACTTCACAAGTAGTGACCTATGCTGGATTATCATTCTCCTGTTACAGAATTTTGTATCTGTATTTGTATTTGGCGGACAGCCAATAAATATTCAAAAGTAATCACCATGCATCTCTGCAGTCTAGCTTTCAAAGTCACCAACTTCGCTACTGAATAAGAAACCAAGAGATACTTTCTGAGCCACATCTAAGCTACATCTGTTTCTTGCTCAGACATTAAGTATAGATTAAAATAATTGTATACAAAAAACAAAACAAAACAAAACAAAACCAATGTGAAGTAGATTAGAGAACTATTTCACACTCAGTTTCTGGTACAGTTAAAAACAGTTTAATGTCTCAAGGCACCACTATGGTTGAACATCAGATACACAGATAATCAGCTAATCTTGTACTATGCTGTAAAGTCAATAAATAGCTTGCGCAATTGTGAAAAGCAATCTCTAGAGGACTGTTAGATATACAGTAGGCACGTGTATCATAATACAAATAGAAAACAATGAGTCCTAGAAAAAGCATGTTGAGCACCGTTGTGGCATTGTTTGTATTTCTTTACCTAACACTAAGTAAACCTTACATTTACAAAAAGAAAGACTAACTTTTTAAAGTTACACTCAAGGTTGCTTTTTGTGCTATCTCCGAGTAAGTGAATCTAGTTCGTAGGTGTACTTTTAGAAGTCATTGGGTCTGGGTCAGCTTCTGTTGCGCTGGTAGACTCATTCAAGTGCGAGCTCAAGTTTTCCGACGTTAGGTGGGAGGACTTGTAGACAATCTCATTGAAGTCAGACCTGATGCAAACTGAAGGGGGGTCATTCAGCGGGTCTTCCACTGAGGCCTGGGTGTTTTCTCGAGTGATTCCCATGTCTTTGCTATGTTCTGATGGGGATTTTCTTTTCATGCGCGTGTAAGTTTTGTCCTGATTCTCCATGCCTTGTTCATTTTTCAAAAATCGTCCAAAGAACCAAATGAAGAATCCAAACCACACAAACGCTATCAAACTTGGAACAAAAGCCAGGCACTTGACATCAAGACTAGCCCCTGTAAACCTGCTATGTAAGAACAGGTCTCCCTCAACATACGTTTTATTAGTCCGGGGGTTAGTGTGATTGGACCTCCATTCCCAAGATAGCTTGGTTCTGTTCAAATCCTTTAAACTTTCTGAGTCTTTCACTGTATATATCTTCTGCCCTGGGCCAATATATTGTCCATATTCATGAGGTTTATAAAATATCTGGTTCTTCCACATATTAAGGTCCAAAATCAAGACAAGAAAGATAATTCCATAGTTAAACCATTTACCTGCATTAAAAAAGAAATACTGCATATTAGCCAAAGAATCATAAAACTGCAATAAGGTTTTATCCAATAAAATGAAGATAATAGTACAATAGTATAAATTGTTAATGTTTTAGACCTGTCAACAATTAATTTTTCTGAGAGCGCTATGCTTCTATTAAGTGAATTGGCAAAGAGATATTTTTAAGTGGATTCTAGGCATGTGAACACATAACTGTGGGTCCCACAGCCAGTAATTTATGGTTTTTACATTAACCAGGCTAAATATCCTTGTTTTATAGGCCCCACAGCTATATTCAAATTTGGTTCCATGTAGATTATCCACGAGAACATTTCAATTAACGTTTAAAAACAAAGTTCTAATGAAATACTTAGAGAAGTCCCACATATAATTCAACATCTCTTACAGTTTTATAATTATGTTTGGGCAAGACATAAATCATTTTGAATGCAAGCACAGCAGTATATCAGTTGAATTCACATTGCTGTTTGTAGGTGACCTGTTGATTAAACCATTAGTTGATGTGATTCAGATCAATAATCCTTGAACATTAATTTCAAGATTTTAAAAATAATTGCATCAAATTTTCATTGAACAGAATTCATTTATCAGACATATAAATATAACCAAAGCTAATGAACTGTTTTAGAAGACATGATTTGGAGAGACTGTAACTACTATTTCTTTGTAGTTTTTAAAATTCTTATCTAAATAAGATATTATTTAGAGACATATTATCTAATAACATCTTTATGTCTGCAAATGGAAAATGTGGAAAAAATTTCAAGAAATACTGGATTCCATTATAATTTTTATTGTAATCATAATTTATTACAAGTTTTATAGTATGAAGTGTATCCTAATAATATAGTAATACCCACCTAATAGACTTGCTGTAGCAAATTAGGTGAGATATGTAACAGATTCTAGAAGCTTTAGTTATGTCTAAATTATTTTATTTTGTATTTGAAAATAGTGGTATTGAATATTAAGTTACTGTTCACATGATTATAGAACTTTTGGGACAGCAGAGAGCTATCACCTTGAGCAAACTACTAAACCAAGAATGGTAAATATGTATTTTGTAATATGTACTCTAACAGAATATATAGCTACATAAAAAGATACTTTGTGAAGAGTTTAGAAAAATATTTTATTATCATCATGACACATTTTCAAGCTCCTATTATATGCAAGTTTGAAGGGTTTTAATCCTCGCTCTGTTTAAATTTTCTAAACACCAATTTCTTTTCCATGCAGAAAATAATAGTACTTATTAAAGCTGTTAACATTTTTCATGTGATTATTAGATGCTAATCACAGTGCTTGGTATAATAGGAACTCGGTAATTGTTACTATTATTATCAAAGCCTTGCCTAAGCTATGATGAGAAGATGTCTTTTTGCATGGAAAAATACAACTGCTTCTATAGGAAGAGAATTTATGTGAACTGTATGAAGGGAAATTATAACGCTGCCCGTCCTGAAATCATTCAATATAAAACCTATATAGGTTTCATAATATTTGTATGGAAGCTTTTGCCTGAATGACTTATTTTGCACACCTAAACTAGAAAGTAAGTTGGAACATTGAAAATATTTCCAGATATGATAAAACATTTCTAACATCTAGCACCATTAAGATCAAACCACTCCTGCCTTCCTGGATCTTCAGAACCAAAACTGTTCTAAGAATCAACCATACCACAAATTAAGAAAGCTGAAGCCAGAAAAATGCAATCAAGAATAAAGGTGAGCATCATTACCAAAGATAATAGATGCTGTGTAGGATACCTTAGTAAATGCTGAGGATACGTTTCTGCCTTTTAGGAAAGAATGCATCATCTTGTTGGGAAAACATGACAGAGACATCAACAGAAAAAGAGTAATAAAAGACTGCATTCGAGAGGTGCCAAATGAGTGATCAAACCATAAAAACCGAGGGCTAATTTCTGCAGAAAGGATTTTAGAAGAAGTAACAATCCATATGGTCCTTGAAAGAAATGCAGGACAGAGAACAGTTTAGAAAATTTTCCATTTCTTTTAGTTTATGTTTTCATTATGCTGCAGATAGAATGGCATACAGCAAAAGATCAGGCAATGTGAAATAGAGAGGCTGAAGGAAGAGAGAAGGAAAAGAATGGAGAATATTGTAGGAAAAGAAAGGCAGGAGATGAATGAGAGACAGGTGAAATGAAAAAGTGCAGCAAGTTTCATCCAGTATTAAGAAGGCACTAGTGTGTAGCTTCCATAATAGAAAGTAAGTTGAGATAGGAGCTTTGGGTGCTTCTCTGTTGTAAAAGTTTTGTACTTATTCTCTTACTGTAAACTATATGTGTTATAAAGCCAGACTAGATGGCAAGGGGATGTCCTTGAAATTGTGACTGATTATCACCTTCTTGACTCACAAAGATTCCTTGGAGAGACTTGTATCTTCTCTAGGTCATTTTTATAAACGCGTGAATCAAGCAGTCTCCATAAAGGGGTCTCTATTTCTAGGGTAACAGGATATCAGAAACTATAGATAAGCAGCAGCACAGAATCAGGGAAAAGAAAGGAATGCCCATGGAACTTGGAGAAAAGTGCTTTTCTAGTGGGGAAAAGATGCTCAATGAATGTTAATAGACAAAGGAAAAACATAAAATCAGAGAATAAAAATGGAAGTATGTAGACTGATCAAGCTAAGAAGAAATCCTGAAGATAGGATTTTTTTTTCCTTACTTAAAAATTATTTTTCTACCATCTAAGATGAATGGTGCCGGGTTCTTTTGACCACTAAACTTTGAGACTAAAGGATCACTTTATGTATTTTTTCTCATGTAACCCGGAGTGTGAACATTTAGATGGAATGGAGGAGAAGAAAATTAAAAATGTGATCTTTGACCTCCGCTGATGGATAGAATCATCCAGCTCTCACACATCTTCACCCATTTGTGAGAGGGAGTACCACAGTGACAAAAACTGTAGGCTGGAAATCATCATGTGAAAAATGTTAACAAGTACTAAACTTGAATAATAAAACCTTGGATAACCTGTTTAGCCTCTCTAGACTAAATAATTTTATTTTCAAATCGAGGAAACTGAACTAAATGCCTTCCAGTTCTATGATTCTGTCCTTTTCCCCATATCCTTCTCCTTATTAGCTGTGTGAATTTAGTTTTTATATTCTGTGACATGGAGAATAATTCCAATGTAACTACATCAAAGGATTATTGTGAGGATAAAGTGAGAAGTTATATTTGAAAGTTCTTAGAAATATATTGTTTGCCAAAAACGTAGGGTACTATTATTTCTACAATTTCTTATATTTCTTCCATCTGGTTAATATAGGATCTTGGTGATAGAATAGTGGGAGAGAAGAGTGTGTAAGGGTTTGTGACAAAGATATATTCTACAAGTGATCAGTTTAGATAAAACAGAATGTATTATTGAGCACTGACATTATAGGGTACCTATCATCAGATCAGTTATCCAAGAGAACCCAGTGCATAGCTATATAGAAATATGTTGTGTGGATCAGCATATTTAGCATGTTAAAAATCCTTAGCCATTGGTAATTTGTCTATAGCTCTCAGTAGTATTGGGCCTGAGAAAAGGTCTTTTATATATACAAATTTTGAGGCTAAAGAACAAGAACTAGTTCCCCTACTCACCCCCACCCCTACTCCCCCAGCAGAGAGGTCATGTGAAAGTGGGAAAGTACATACAGAGTGGAGAGAAGAGACTGAGGCAGAATCCCCACTGATACCATATTTTCTTATTATATTCTGTGGCTATAGCATTGTCTTTCCCACCTCTCAGTCATTCAGCTGAAACTTGAAACTGCTGAAAATTTAAAAGAAATGGCTCTTCTTACTTTTTGTTTCCAGCCCACTTGACATAACCTCGGGTCCATTTATCCATTTGTACGGAGAAAGAATGTTCATTTTTCTCTATCACTCATCCTTACATTTTCCCACACAGCGTTTTGTTACCTTGGTAATGTTTTTTCCCTCTTTAAAAACATTACTTTTGCCCTCTGAGATGTGGCCAATCAGACAGCAAAGTCAGGCGAAACAATTTAAGCTTGGTGTTCTTGTCTATAAGGTGAGGAAGTTGAGCTATATAATCCTTAAGGTTTCATCCCAGCCTCAAACGTCTCTTTGATGAATCAGTGAAATAAACACTGTTTAAACTTTAATGTTTTATGATGGACCAGGAAATCTCCCCATTAGAGCAAAAAAAGATGAAATATACAACTCTTAGATGGAGAAAGCTTTCCTTAAAAAAAAAAAAAAAATCATATTTCTGAGAAACACTGTTTACCATAAAAAATAAATTTGAATCCCTGAAATAACCCACATGGAAAGGATATAAGACACAAAAAAAGAAAGAATAGAAAGTGCTTCTATTTTCATTTTCCCAAGTATGTTGTTGTGAAGGTACAATCAACCGTAACAAGAGGTTTGAGATTTCAGTATTAATCTTATGAGAGATTTTACATGTCCCCCTGTTGTTTCAACTACATAGCATAATGTAAATCAGCAAGGAGGTCGGGTAAAATCCATACATTATTTCTATTAATCACCATGTCGAAATATCTCACTGTCTTCTTTAATAAGAAATCACTGCATGGTGTTGGTGGGATTACCTCTTTTTCTTTTTTTGAGCTTTTAATGAATCTTACTGATTGTCAAAAATGATATTATAATGGTAATTTTATCTTTTTACTTTGTGGGAGTCTATAGAATCCTGAGCTAGTTAGTTTTAAAAGAATTCTTCATTAACTATCATCCACACTTACCATAGGAAATGACAACAATTTGGAGGAAAATGTTATTTTTTTCAACTAAAGAAAAAGACTATAAAGTGCTGATATTTCCACCATATAATAAAACTTTTAGGATTTAAATATGCAGTCATATTTGCAAAAATCTGTTACTCAGGAGAGTTGCCACTTAACATTGTGGTTGAGCTGTGCTGTGCCGTGGGCACCTCTACATCAAGTAGGTGCTACCACTCGG